CTTACTTAAAAAAGATCTACTGCTATCCATGTTTATAAGAGAATGGTGAAAAGAACTATCTTAAAACTAGACTATTCTATTGTAATCTAGAAAATTTCCTTCAACTTGGAAGGGATAATAAATAGAAGCCCCTCCCCCTCATTTGGAACCGTTCAAAGTTCTCAAACATTCAAGTGTTGTAATCGCTCTTTCTTAGTGAAATATTTCTTCGATTTGTAATAGCCTTCATAGATTCAAATGCATTTACTTTCCTCACACTCGAACTTGATTTTTACATCTAAAACATCTTTTTCTATGCATGAGAAGGTTGAAATAGTCAACTAAATGCATATGTAAATTTCCACAAAAAAAAAAATTATTGGGATCACTTTTTGTTTTTCTTTATTATTATTTTATTTTATTTTGTTCATGTTTTAATTTGAAATATAATATTTTTTATTATTTGATTAAAATATGGTGTTTTCAAAAGCACTCAAGACTAAGAAGTTGTTTGAATGTTTATTAATTTATTTTCAAAAATAAAAAAATATATATATAAAACGCATCATACAATTATGTTTTTTAAAATTAAAATGAATAGGTAAAAAGAAAAAGCAAATTTGATCACAAACAAACTCTAGATTAGTCGAGTTCAGTTCAAGTTAAGCATGATTAAATGGACTCGTATTCAAATTATACATAAAAAATATGTCAACGTGGATTCAATGAGAACCAACTGTCCAGAAGGGAGGAAGTACGACAGAGAAGGGCCCACCAACAGAAAACCAAGAGACCCACTTATCTGATCAGATGTTGTGATCTAGGTCAAGGTCGAAAGCAAACTGAGCCAGGAGATGAACAAAAAAGAATGACTGAACAATCGAGTATGAACCAATCAAACTAAAGTAAAATAGATAAACATCCAAACTAACCCTTACAAGAAAGCTAACTTAAGGCTTTGACCTATCTACTAGTAGATCAAACTCGATGAAAAATTCCGGTTTTTGAATATCATAAACTGTCCTACGACACCCATGAGGCTCTTCATTAGGGATCAAGAACTGTTTATGCAATTGAACCTCATTGTCATCCCTCATGTTCTTCTCATCAATGAATGAGCTACATGTTGGATTACAATAATTTACTCACTAACTGATAGACTAGTCTCTTACCCTGCCGACAAGAGTTCCTCCTACAAAAATTAATGTTCAACAACCATACTAGATTTCCCGATTGACAAAGCTCAGCCGACCGAGTGAGTCCTTCAAAATAACATTTTGAATAACTTGCATTAATTTTTCATTGTGATGTAGCTTACGTGTGAGTTTTCTTTTAGGTTGAGTTTTCTTTTTTGGTGTGCTATACTTACGTTTCATTTTAATTTCATTTAAAATATTCCAAGCCATTTTATGTCTAATATATGCACGATCTATTTTCCAATGGCATTTACATATATTCCACTAAATATTACACCTTTCCATGTATATATA